GAGGAAGGCTGAAGAAGAATTTATTGGAAGACAGTCCTAGGGTGTTACCCCTTACATTCCCTCTCAGCCAGGGAAAAACTGGAACCGTGATCCCCTCCTCTCACAGTTCTGCCACAGAGACTCTGAGCATGGCCACCCAGCAAACGTCAGCACCCATCAGACACTCAGGTGCTGCCCTCACACTCACAAGACGTGCTGCATAGCTGAGGCAGTCCTGGTGAGATTCCCCACTTGAATAATGTTCTGGACTTTGGCGAGGGTGGCTGTCATATCCTGGCTGTCCCGAAGGTCAAACTCAGTCTGGATCACTTCTCCGTACTGCACCAGGGCAAAGCTGCACTGGAGGGAGGGGCCCAGGAAGAGGAGGAGGTGGGCGAGTTACCACAGCCAAGGTCACCCCTGCCCGTGTGATGACTCCTGGAAGCAGTAGATGAATCCACTCATTCCACCTTATCCCTGGGCAGAAAATGCTAAGGCAGAGAAAACTCAAAGGAAGGAGGGATGGAGAAGGAGATGGCAAAGACCCCCAATGAATCACAGACTTCTCTTGATTCCCTGTGTGGCCCCTCCATATTGACTGCAGGGTTGGCTATGAGACTTCCTTTGACCAATGGACATCAGCAAATGTAATGCGATTTGAGACCTGAAAAGTGTTTTCATGTATTAGGTCTTGCTCTCTTAGAATGTTGCTGCCATGAAAATGTTGGGCTGGCCTGCCAGAGACACATGGCCCAGATGAGTGAGTGAGGTCATCTTAAGCCATCCAGCCTCCGTCAAGCAACTGGATGCCTGCAGCTACAGGATAACTATAAGCAAGACCAACAGAAGAACCCCCAGCTGAGCTAAGCCCAAACATCTGACCCACAGAATAATGAGCAAATAAAACAGTTGTTTTGAGGTAATGTGTTGCACAGTAATAGATAAGTGATAAATTATGTGAAGCTCACCTCAAAACACTTCTCATAGAAGTTCCTCATCATGTTGGAGATGAAATCTTTGGCTCTCTGGAAATCTGGGGGATCAATGCTTCCTGAGCCATCCAGGATGATGGCAATCTCAGTGCCTGGCCAAGACAATAAGAAGGTCAGGAGTGGACATGGGATTTGGGACAGGCATGAGAGCAGCATCTCCTACCCTATAGGGCACATGCCTCCACTCAATCCCTGAGAACTCAGGTAAGTTGTGGAGGCTCCCCAAAGTGAAGCTGGTGTCTCAGAGCAAAGAGAGCTGAACCTGCTCAGGCTCTGACTTGCTGTGTGAGCTGCTTCCCTCACTCCCACTCTCTGGGCCTCAGTTTCCCCACCTGTGAGATAGAGGGGCAGAGCTGGGACTGGCAAGGCCCGTAGAATCCAGCCACTGCTCTCCTTCTATCTTTCTGGCTGAGGCACTCCTCAGTCCTGAAGGCTGCCAGCCTAGAAGTTGGTTCTGACAGCCTCTGGGAGCAACCCAGATCTGCCTCTTCTCACCAGTGTCATCCTCTTCCTCCTCTTCTTCCTCTGGCTCTTCCAGAGCCCTGCGATGCCGGGCAGTGATCTCATGCTCTCCCGTGCTGCCTTCTTTCTTCCTGTGGCAGGTTCCACCATCCACATGTACACCCACATCCAAGATACTTTCTTTATAAAACACACATGGAAGAGCTCAGAGTCAGAAAGCCTGTATGTTCACCTTAGGCACGCTCACACATAGCTGTGCCCCAATGCCTTTCACGTGGGGCCTCAGGCCTGCCCTGCTGGCTGGGTCTTTGTGTCTCTCTACATCTGCCAAGGGCTGGTGACTCTCCTTAGAGACCCAGGTAAATCTCTTTAGAGCTTTCTTTTTTTTTTTTTTTTTTTTTTTGAGACAGAGCCTCAAGCTTTCCCCTGGGTAGAGTACCATGGCATTACAGCTCACAGCAACCTCCAACTCCTGGGCTCAAGCGAGTCTCTTGCCTCCGCCTCCCAAGTAGCTGGGACCACAGGCGCCCGCCACAACGCCCGGCTATTTTTTGGTTGCAGCCATCATTGTTGTTTGGCGGGTCCGGGCTGGGGATTCGAACCCACCACCTTAGGTGTACGTGGCTGGCGCCTTAGCCGGTTGAGCTATCGGCGCCGAGCCTCTTTAGAGCTTTCTAAGGCCAGCAAGTAACCAGTCCTTACCAAGGTCAAGGAAGTTGGCCTCGGCCTGAAGATGGAGGTCAGAATCCAGTAGGCTACAAGTGCCTGTGAGTTCTGAGCTGAGGCTGTGTGGCTGCCGGGCTGGTACTTGAATGCATACCTGGGGACAGGGGAAGGTATGGAGGAGGCAGGCAAGCTAGATCACTCCCATATTGCTTATCCACACCCCTACTATCACCCCTACCCAGAACTCAGTGGCTCAACCAGGCAGGGAGCACAGAAACAGGTAACTCACAGAAACAGACCTGGGTGGCTGTGCCAGGTCATATGGAATACCCAGGCCAGTCCTGGCATCAATACCACAGGTGGTCAGATTAGCAGTCAGTTCTGGGATTGGCACCAGGGAGACAACTGGGCTCAGCCCCAGTAATAACATCCCAATCTGAACTAGTATGGACACCAAGGTCAATTACGGGTCAGTCCCAGCCTCCCTGAGACCCTCAAGCTCCCACCCATGCACACTCACCAGAACACTATGGTGGTTCCGGACAACTGTCACTCCCTGGTACTTCCCCTTTGGGATGGGGACATGCTCTGAAACAGTTAAACCCAGGTAAGGAGGGAGGGACACTGGAACATAATCCTGCAGCCAAGGTCAGAGTGCACACGGCCACCTTGGTCAGAGTCCCATGAGGAACCATTGGTCACTCAGAGCAGCTTCTAGAAAGCTGGAGCAAGGAGGTCTTCAGGACAGGCCTGGACACACCCTGGGCAACCAGCTTGTCCCTGGGGCTCATTTATTGATACATCCAACAAATGCCCCTTGGCATTCGCTCTGAGCCCAGCCTGAAATGCCTGGGACGTGGTCTTCTCCTCAAAGGGCTCCTGGCTCGGTGGGGCAGGCAAGGAGAAGCATTGGGTGTGGGTGTCACAGCACCAGGAGTGTGCAAGGTACTGCAGGGCTGGCTCCATGGACCAAAGAACCTCTAGTCTCAGAGACCCCATGGGGGACTGTGCCTCACACCCCAGGGGAAGAAGTGGTAGTTCCTTCTTCTGCCTTCTGATTCTGAGCCCCAGTTCTCAGTGTTCCTGCTGCACTGTACATGCATCTGGGCAGAGATTGACTCTGTTCAACTCAGGGCCTCTCATGGAGACAAGGATTGTCAGTAAATGTGGTTGTCAGGTGTGCCTTGCATTGGACAGGGTGAGATGGGCAGAGTCTGGTTATTGAATGAGTCAGGTTCAAACAGCATCTATGGCGTGCCTAATATACACCAAGTGCACTGACAGATGGTAGGAGGGTCACAGTGAGACTGGAATAGGTGGAGTCGAACTCCACTGGGGTGTGATGACTTGTATTGGGAAGGTTAGGGTTTGGGATCTGCCATCAACACTAGAGGTGTGACCTTTGTCATACTGGCAGCCAAAAGACTTAGCTACTCTAAACTGTAGCTTCCTCTCCTGTAAATGGTGTGGATCTGAGGGTTAAGAGCAAACAAAGCTCTTCACAGCGTTCCAGACACACAGTGAGCGCTCAGTACATTTTAGGTGCCATTTCTGTTGCCAGCACCACATCAGTGGAGGGCTGAGGGTTAGGGTCGGATTGAGATGGGCTTGCCCACTGGGATGGAAGTCTTGGAGTTAGAGTTTAGGGGTGGATGGGCTTCATTAGTGGAGCTACCATTGAAATGATTTGGGTTGGGATAAGTGGGATTTCTAGAAAGGGGGGCCTGGGGAGCATTCCCTGGAGCTGGGGCTGACTTACCTACAGGTTGGCAAAAGATTTCGTCCCGGATGAGGGAGCATCGATGCAGAGGCCTTGATGTCCTATTGGTTCTAGAACTGGTGACCAGGAGCCTGAGTGGAAGGGTAGACAGCGAAGCTGAACTGGCTGACAATCCCCTTTTCCTCCCTGCCTGCCCACCCCCAGTCTTCCACTTCCAGGTCAATAGCATCACAGGCTCTCTGTTTGGCCGCTGTGCAGAAGGCCCACACCTGGGGAGGCAGGAGAGACATTTGCTTGACCTCTACTTTTACACTGCTCCAGGCAGGAAAGGGTTAAAGCAACTTCTCTCTGCCTGCAGCTCACCCCCACCCTGACAGAGATGGGAGTGATACTGGTGGTGACAATCTGGGAGGCCCAGCTGGGTGGATTGCTTGAGTTTATTAGAAGTTAGAGACCAGCCTAACTGCAAGAATGAGACCCTATTTCTATTAAAAATAGAAAAACTAGCCAGGTTGTTGTGCAAGGTACCTGTAATCCCTGCTACTCGGGAGGCTGAGGTGAGAGATTGCTCAAACCCAAGAATTTGAGATTATTGTGAGCATAACACCACAGGCACTCTACTTAGGGCGACAGACTCTGTCTCAAAAAAAATAAATAAATAATTCTGCTCTCTTATGGGGGTAGGGATAGGAGAAACCAGGAAGCCAGCAACAGACTTGGTTTCATTGGGGGCAGCACTGGCTTCATTAGCAACAGTGGTTCTGAAGAAGAGCACACTGGTGCCGCTGTCCTATGGGCCAGTCAGCACTGGAGGTTGGGGTTTCTGACTGCAAACTTCTTGTCCCTCACCCCAACCCACAGCAGGAAAACAGTAGAGTCCAGTGTCAGCCTAAACGCTCTCACTATCCATGCTACCCAGGGGCAGAGACTGAGCTGCTGGGATTGTTAGCAGGGGCCGGGGCAAGCAGTGGGGGCGGGGGGAAGGGGACCCAGGTCTTTATGCTGAAGGCAGTAGGAAGCCACAGACCACTTTATAAAGGGGAAGCACTGGATTAGTGTCTGCTTTCAAAAGGTCACAATGTGGCTGTGGTGAGTTGGGAGACAGACTAGAGAGCACAGTATGGAGGGCAGAAAGGAGGCACTTGTTTCCACTTCCCCAACTCCCTTCACTCTACGTTTTTAAAAATGATGAAACATATTAACATATCTGCATGTTTTACAGAATAGTAACAGTCTACATCTGTGCATGTGCACCCACCTGTCCCCCCAGCTGAATCCACCCCCGGCTGACTTCCACCCTCTCATCAAGGTCAGCTGTGGTCCCCATAGTGCCAAATCCAGTGGACCACTTTCTTTTTTTTCTTTTCTTTCCTTCTCTTTCTTCTTTTTTTTTTTTTTTTTTTGAGACAAAGTCTCACTATGTCGCCCTGGGGAGAGTGCTATGGCATCACAGCTCACAGCAACCTCAAACTCTTGGGCTTAAGCGATTCTCTTGACTCAGCCTCCTATGTAGCTGGGACGACAGGCACCTGCCACAACACCCAGCTCTTTTTTGGTTGCAGTTGTCATTGTTGTTGAGCAGGCCCAGGCCAGGCTCGAACCCACAAGCTTCAGTGTATGTGGCCGGCACCCTACGCAATGAGCTATGGGTGCCAAGCCATCTTTTCTCTGACACAGAATCTCACTCTGTTGCCCAGGGCTAGAGCGCAATAGTGTTATAGCAACCTCAAACTGCTAGGCTCAAGTGATCCTCCTGTCTCTGCCTCCCAAGTAGCTGGGGCCACAGGTGCCCACCACCATGCCCAATTAATTTTTCTGTTTTTAGTAGAGATTGGATCTTGCTCTTGCTTGGGCTGGTCTCAAAGTCCTGAGGTCAAGGGATCCTTCTGCCTCTGCCTCCCAGAGTGCTAGGATTACAGGTGTGAGCCACCACGCCCAGCCTCCAATGGACTCCCTTCTATCCAAATTTTCCTCAACTTCTCAGCAGCCCTGAACACAGGTGACCATCTCCCCCTTGAAACTCCTTCTGAACTTTGCCTGTTCTCTCCTGATGCCTGCTCAGACTCCTTTGCTGTCTGAGGTTTAAATGCCACCAGAGTCCTGTGGGGCTTGCTCCTGTACTCCTTACAAGCACACTCTCCTTAGTGACCCCTTCCAATCACCCGAACTGTCATTGCTGGGCTCATACCTTTACCTCTGCATCCCCAGCACCACCACCCACAAGACATCATCACAGCACGGTTATAATAAGCAGAGTAATGCCCCCCCCCCCACCGAGAGGTCTACATCCTAATCCCCAGAACCTATTAATATGTTAGCTCTTATGGCAAAAAGGACTTTTTAGACATGGTTAAATTACGGATCTTTTTTTTTTTTTTTTTTTTTTTTTTGAGACAGTCTCACTATGTCACCCCCAGTAGAGTGCTGTGGCATTATAGCTCACAGCTACCTCTAACTCTTGGGCTTAAGCAATTCTCTTGCCTCAGCCTCCCAAGTAGCTGGGACTACAAGCGCCCACCACAATGCCCAGCTATTTTTTTGTTGCAGTTGTCATTGTTGTTTAGCTGGCCCCAGCGGGATTCGAACCCACCACCTTAGGTGTACGTGGCTGGCGCCTTAGCCGGTTGAGCTATAGGCGCCGAGCCTAAATTACGGATCTTGAAATGGGGAGATTGGCTTGGCACCGTAGCTCAGTAGTTATGGCGCTGGCCACATGCACGGGGCTGGCAGGTTCAAACCAGCCCAAGCCTGCTAAACAACAATGACAACAACTAAAAAATAGCCAGGCATTGTGGCAGGCACCTGTAGTCCCAGCTAGTTGGGAGGCTGAGGCAAGAGAATAGCTTAAACCCAAATAGGTTGAGGTTGCTGTGAGCTGTGACGCCACAGCACTCTACTGAGGGCAACATAGTGAGACTCTGTCTCAAAATAAAAAGAAAAGGAAAGGAAAAGAAACAGATTCTCCCCTTCTCCCTTAGAGTTTCCAGAAGGACTACAGCTTTGCTGACACCTTCAGGCCTATTTCAGACCTCTGACACCCAGAACTGTAAGATAATAAATTTGTGTTATAGGCCACTGAATTTGTGCTACTTGTAGCAGCAATAGGAAACTAAAGCTATAGCTAACTGGTCATTGTCTAATGGGCATCTCAAACTCAGAATGTCCAAACAGAACCTGAGGTCTTGTCCTCCCAAGCCTGCTCCTTCCCATCTCCCCCACAGCAACAGATGGCACCACCAACCACTAAGTTTGAAAGCCTGAAGCCCGGGGAGCGCTCTTTGCTTTGTTTTTCATGATTCCCCTACATCTGATCCAATGGTCAGCCCTATTGGTTCTTTCTCCAGATAGTATCTAGAGAGGACCTCTTCTCTGCATTGTCTGTGCCACCACCCTGGCCACCATCATCTTTCCCACTCTCACAGTACAGCCTTCTATTATTCTGTGGGGTTGATGTAGTTTTTCATTTGCTCACATGATTTATACCACATCTTTCCCATCAGTGGTGGCCTCAGTTCCTTGGCCAGCCAATCACCAGCACTTCCCTGCATCAAGCCTCCCACCTTACTGTTGCCTCTACCTGGAACGCTCACCTCCCACTCTCCCCAAAGTTGGCTTATTCTCATCCCTGTGCCTCGCTCAATGTCACCTCCTCAAAAAGGCTTTCTCTAACCAGCTCTGCCTCAACCCAGTTATTCTGCTTACTCTGCTTGGAGTCACCTTGTTTTATTTCCTTCTCTGAACTTGTCACCATCTGATAGTATCTTAATTGTTTACCTGCTTATCATCCTCCCCGCCTCAACCAGGCAGCAAGTTCCCTAAGGAGCCTGTCTTTCTTGTTCCCAGAGCCTGGAACAATGCCTGGCATGGAGCAGGGGCTCGGTGAGTATTTGTTGAATGACTATTGGGCCCAGGCAACAGCTGAGGGGGCTAATCTGGAGCAGGACTGAGGGGTGGAGGGCCGGAGCATCTGAGATCTGCTCCCTGGTGCAGGCTCTGCAGCTGAGCCCCCAAACTAGGTCACCTCAGCAGCCCTGCCTCTCTCCCCAGACCCCTCCCCAGCCTGAGCCCCAGTCTAAGGCCGTGCACTCCATTCCCTTCTCCCCGACAAAGGGCAGGTTCAGAACTGGGCTCTACCCCAGGCCATAGCTTGTAGGGTGGGTGCATGCCTGGAACAGCCTCTGCTCTTCCTCCTCCCAGGCCTCTGTCCAAGCCACTTCCTCTGCCTGTCACCTCCTTCTGCTGTAGGACAGTCACCTGCCAGCTCCTTAAAAAGCCTTCCCAAAGAAAGGTGCGACTTGGTCCCCTCTAGGTCTCCCCTTCCCCCAGATTATGAGTTCCCAAGAAACCACCAGGTACTGCTGTGCAGGATGAGCACTGCAGATCCCCAGGACTGCCACTCATCTAATGTGCCTGGGCCTGGTCTGACCTGCTTCTGCTCCCCACCCCTTTTGCCCCCACAACTGGTAGCACTGACCAGCTATGACAGAGTACTATTGGCCATCAGCTGACAGCGCAGGGGCCCTCTTACACCCTGGGCTCTAGCCTATCCCTGTTCTCCGATTCTATTTCCAGGTCTCCTGGGGGTCTCCTGGGCTGCTTTACATCCCACCCACCACTTCCTGGGTCAGCCAAAGCCCATGATGCTGCCAGCCCTGGTTTGTTATATCTTAGGGGGAATGAATGTGAGGGAGTGAGACGGGCAGGTCATCCTCAAATAAGAGCTCAGGCCTCAGCTCTCTCTAAGGCCCAGGACAGCCTGTCAGCGCATTTCCTGCCCTGTGCAGCGGGCTGGGCCGTGGTCTCAGGCTCATCACCCACACTGCAGGAACCCAGAATTGCCTCCCACCACATCCTCCTCACAACATGTTCAAACCTGTGAGCCCCCTCTCTGCTTCAACAAGTGTTCAGGGAGATTTTTGTGAGCCCTGCTGGGCTCTCCCTACACCCATTGGTGGGCTCAGGGCCCTCTGAACCAGGGCTTCAGACTCCCCTCATGCACCTCGGCCTTTAGGTTTCTGAGGGAGGAGACAATGAAATGTGTGGGCCCTTGAGCTGGGGAGGGCTCCACTGGGGTATTGGGAGAGGGGACTGGGAAGGAGACCGTCACAAATAATTCAGACTGAACCCTAGGCATGCATGGCAAGCACCTTGGAAATCTGAAGGCTGAACCAATGCACAACCCACATGAACTCAGCAATTTCACTCCCAGCATGTGCCCAAGAGGAAGAAGTAAACTCATCCCTCTAAAGAAAGTGCACAAAGGTGAGCTCAGTGGCTCACACCTTTAATCCTGGCACTCAGGGAGACCAAGGCAGGTGGATTGCTTTAGCTCAGGAGTTGGAGACCAGCCTGAGCAAGAGCAAGACCTCATCTCCACTAAAAATAGAAAAACTAGCTGGGCATTGTGGCAGGTTCCTATGGTCCTAGCTACTTGCAGGCTGAGGCAGGAGGATTGCTTGAGGCCAAGAGCTTGAGATGCTGTGAGCTGTGATGACATCACAGCACTCTAGCCAGGGGGATAGAGTGAGACTTTGTCTCTAAAAAAAAAAGAAGAAGATATACAGCAGTGCTATTCATCTTAGCCCAAGGAAACCACCCAAGTGCCCATCACGAGCACTGGCCACACAGTGGAAATCTCTGGCAACACCATGGATGAAGTTCTGATGTGGCATGAGGGGAGCCGCCATAACAGCACATGCCATGTGCCCTACAAAGACGACAGTCAGGGAGGTTCCTGTTGGAGGGCAATGTCTGGAAGGGAGCAGAGGATGTAGAGGGGCTTCTGTGAGCTGCTAATGCCCTTTGCAAACAGCCAGTGAGCTGCAGGTTATGATGGGGGCATTTTTCTGTGTGGCATAGTTAACAAACTTTTACAAAACACAATAAATGTTGACTTTAATTCAGCTTCCAAAAACTCCCCAGCCCTTCCTCCTCCAATCCCTTTTGGCTCCTCTGAACTCTCAGCGCCTGGTGACAAGGCACCATCCGCCTCCCCGTCTTAGTTTTCATCACGCTCAGCTTTAGCCACACGACATTCCTCAGTTCCTTGACCTTACTCAGGCTGGCCTCCGGCTTTCAACCAAGCCCTTTCTCTCTGCTTGGACCTCCTATTCCCATGCCTTCTCACACCAACTCCCTCTCATCGCCCAGGTCCTGGTGCAGATGCTGAAGAACATACCTGCCTCTATGTCCCTCTCCCTGCCCCCCGGCACCCTGGACATCCACTATCACAGCTGCCCTGACTCTCGTCATTGTCTGACTGGTGTGTTTCCCTCATGAGCCCCAGTGACCATGTCTCCTTCACTATCTTATTCCCCAAACATGGCCTGGCATTGAGCAGATGCTCCCAACAACGTACTTGCTGAGTAGATAAACAAATCAACCCTGCTCTCACCACTTAAATAAATGTAATGGTTACTAGACTTTTCACCACACAGCTGAGGAAACTAAGGTTCAAAAGGGATGTCTGATGTGTAGGAAAAATCACACTCACTTTCTCCTATAGTCTCATAATACAAAATACTTATGTGACCTCAGATATGTGGGGGCGTTTTCCCCCACACCCCAAGCAAGAGGGTCCTTCAGCACCCAACACCAGCTGGGTGTCCTCTAGTTCAATTCAGTGCTGACACTGTGTACCTGGAGGTAGCATCAGACCCCACAGGTTGAGGGCTCAGTCCCATAAGACTTCCCTCCAACTAGCTTGGCGCCCATAGCTCAGTGGTTAGAGCACCAGACACATGCACCAGGGCTGGTGGGTTTGAGCCCAGCCCAGGCCTGCTAAACAATGACAACAACAACAACAACAAAATAGGCAGGTGTTGTGGCAGGCGCCTGTAATCCCAGCTACTTGGGAGACTGAGGCAAGAGAATTGCTTAAGCTCAAGAGTTTGAGGTTTCTGTGAACTGCCATGCCATAGCACTCTACCAAGGGCGACATAATAAGAATCTGTCCTAAAAAAAAAAAAGACTTCCCTCCCCCTCTGATGCCAATCTCAAGCCCAGTGCTTCTGACTTGTGCTTCTGACCAACTGGCTATACGGACATCAGGATTCCCACGACTCCCTCCTCAGGTTTGATTAATTTACTAGAGCAGCCCACAGAACTCAGGGCAATATTTATGTCTACTGGTTTATTATTAAGAATGTTACAGGGTGGCACCTATGGCTCAGTGAGTAGAGCACCGGCCCCATATACCAAGGGAGGCAGGTTCAAGCCCAGCCCCGGCCAAACTGCAACAAAAAATAGCCAGGTGTTATGGCAGGCACCTGTAGTCCCAGCTACTTGGGAGGCTGAGGCAAGAGAATCACCTAAGCCCAAGAGCTGGAGGTTACTGTGAACTGTGTGACGCCACGGCACTCTACAGAGGGCAATAAAAGTGAGACTCTGTCTCTACAAAAAAAAAAGAAGAAGAAGAAGAAGAGTATTACAAAGGAAGAGATGCATAAGGCCAAGGTCAGGAGAGGAAGCTTTTTTTTTTTTTTTTTTTTAGTAGAGACAGAGTCTCACTTTGTTGCCCTTGGCAGAGTGCTGTGGGATCACACAGCTTACAGCAACCTCCAAGCTCCTGGGCTTAGGCCATTGTCTTGCCTCAGCCTCCCAAGTAGCTGGGACTACAGGTGCCCACCACAATGCCTGGCTATTTTTTTGTTGCAGTTTGGCCGGGGCTAGGTTTGAACCCGCCACCCTCAGTATATGGGGCCAGGGCCCTACCCACTGAGCCACAGGCGCCACCCGAGAGGAAGTTTTTATACCCTCTCTAGATGCTCCTCCCTCCAGGAACCCCTATGTGCCCTACTATCCAGAAGCTCTCCAAACCCTGCCTTTGGGGGGGTTTATTGATGCTTGGTTACATAGGTATGATTGATTAAATCATTAGCTCTTGGTGATCAACTTAATATTCTGCGCCTCGCCTCCCAGAGGTTGGTGGGGTGGGATGGAAAGTCTGGACTCTCTAATCCTGCCTGGGTCTTCCCAGTGACCAACCACCATCCTAAAGCTACCTAAGGGACTTGTAGCCACCAATCAACTTATTAGCATACACGAAGACATTTATTACTTTGGAGATGCCAAGAATTTTAGGAGTTATATTCCAGGAAATAGGACCAAATATATATTTCAAGACCAACTACATACTTATATGTAATATTGTAAAATAGATACTTGGTCTCCAAATACCAAATATATATTTCACAGTATCACAGGTTCCAAGCCTGCTTGGCTGGAGGAATCATGGCCCAAGTCTCAGGGCCTCTGAAGCTGCCTCAGAAGCCACCTCTGCCCACCCATCCTCCACCAAGCAGGGCTTCTGCTCTGCTCAGCCAGGACCCTGAGCACCCACCTAGCTCTGCTCCCAAACCTGTGTGGACCTTGGGCTTACCTGTTCACGTATGCTGGGTAAAAAGGAATCCCTTGACCACGGACCCGAAAGCAAAGCAGTAGGTTGGGTTGGGGACACAACCAGACTGGGGCTAGGGCTAAAGCTGGCTTGGTGGCAGGGCAAGCACAGAAAAAGCCCCATGACCATCAGGGAAAAAAGTGGTCCAGGAAGGAATGACTGCTTTAGATTACCAAAACAAGAGACACAACAGTATGCGTGAACAGTGAGCAGATCCTGGCTTTAAAACAACACGGGTCCCAAAGTCATTATACTCATTTACGTCATCTGCCTCCCTGGCCAACACGTCAGCTCCCTGAGACTTGGGGCTTCTATTTGCCTTGTCACAGCTACATCTGCAGGGCCTGGCATGTGGTACATGTCCCATAAATATTTGTTGAGTGAAGGATCATTGTATATATAATTCAATAATTTACCTTTTTTTTTTTTTGAGATAGAGTCTTACTCTGTAGCCCTGGGTAGAGCACTGTGGTGTCAAAGCTCACACAACCTCAAACTCCTGGGCTCAAATGATTTCCTCCCCTCCCTCGCCTTCCAACTAGCTGGGACTGACTACAGGAGCCTACCACAATGCCCAGCTAGTTTTTCTATATTTAGTAGAGATGGGGTTGTTCTTGATCAAACTGGTCTCAAATCTCTTTCTCTTTTTTTTTTTTTTTTTTTTTTTTTGCAGTTTTTGGCTAGGGCCAGGTTTGAACCCACCACCTCCAGTATATGGGGCCAGCGTCCTATTCCTTTGAGCCACAGGTGCTGCCCATGGTCTCAATCTCTTGAGCTCAAACAATCCACCTGCCTCTGTGTCCTAGAGTACTAGGATTACAGGCGTGAGCCACCACATCCGACCCAATACTTTACCTTTTTCATCTCACAATATTTCCAGATTAACCAGGTTAATAACCATTGCTCTACTTTCATTCATTTGACCTGTTTTTAGTACTGTATCATATGAGTCACATCTTACTTCTCCCATTTTCCTAATGATGAATACATTCAGGCTTTCGCTATTCCAAGCAATACTACAAGAAACATTTTTACATGAACCTGAGAATTTCTCTGGAGTGGAATTTGCTGAGTCAAAAGCCACATGCACCCTCACCTTTACCAGATATGGCAAACTGCTCTCCAAGGTGATGGTATCAATTTACACACACAACCCCCACACACACACACTCATGTTTTACCACATCCTTAATAGCTCTGTGTGGTCTGCCAGTCTAATGGGTGGGTACAGATGATATTTGTAAAACTTAAGGCAATGTTTATTGAGCATTAACTTGACCAGAAAGTGTGCTTTTATGCCCCTGGCCCACAGCCTAAGTCTTAACCATTACTCTTCGGTGCTTCATATTTTCAATTTTTTCTATTATTTTTGTGTTCAAATTTTGTATGTTGAGCAAGTGTTACTTTTGTAAGGAACAAAACTTTACTTAAAATAATTTTTAAGTCTCCCCTCCCCCTAGGTGTGGAGTGGAGACAGACCCAGTGATGAGAGGAGACCAGGGCTCCATGCCCTCCACAGACTGGCATGTTGTTCACAGCCTCTGACTCTTCCTCCCTTTCTCCTGTGTGTCCTTCTGAAAGAGAAAGGAGTTTCTCCCCAGACTGTGGGGGTGGAGCGCCAAGGCCTTCTCCAGGGCCCAGCTCAGGCTCCTGGAAGCCCCCTCAGTCCTCAGGCCTCCTATTCCCAGGGCCACACTCACCAGGTCTGGTTGGTCCTGGGATCTTGGTGCAGAAGGGAGCTGAGCACAAACAGTGCCCCTTCCTTGGGTGTGACCCAGGGCGAGGCCACATCCACATTGAAGGCCACTGCAGGGGCCAGGCCTATAAGGAAAAGAGGAACATTTAATGAAAGAGCACTTTTACTCCCGTTATTCCATCAAATCCTATGGAGCTATTAACCCCGTTTCATAGTTGAGAAAAGTGAGACTCCCCAAGGATCTTACAGGACTGAACATAAGCATACCAGAACCTCTGACCCTCCTACCAAGCCCAGCTGTGGCAGCACCAGAGCCCCCTCTCCCAGAAGGCTTTCCTTGGCTGTCCCACCTCCTCACCCCTCCTACTGTCACTTTCTGTACCTGTCACCGCTGTTTCTCCAACCAAAGAGTAGACCAGGGCCTACATATGTTTCAGCTATGCAAGCCCCCGCAAGTGACCCAAAAGAAAATACACATCGTCAAAAATACCTGTATCTCAAGTAGACTGATGAGAAGCCATTAAAAATATACCTGCACAGAATGCTTTACAGGACCTTTATTTATAACAGCTCCCAACTAGAAACAACCCAATGTCCACCAAAGGGAGAACGGATAAAGTTACTGATATGTTCATACAACAGAATACCACTCCAGAGGAAAAAGAAATGATAACTGATACAGCAACAGGGTGAATCTCAAAAATCATTACGCCGACTGAAAGAAGCCTTACTTAAAACAGTGTCTACTGTATAATTCTATTTATATGATGTTCTAAATCAGCAAAACTAATCTATAATAAACACCAATTGGTTGAGGGGGAATGGGAATTAATCAAGAAAGCAATAGAAGGAGCTTTCTGGGGTGATGGAAATACCTTTTTTTCCCCTTGGGACAGATTCTCACTTTGTCATCCTTGGTAGAGTGCTGTGGCATCATAGCTCACAGCAACCTCAAACTCTTTTTTTTTTTTTTTTTTTTGAGACAGAGCCCCAAGCTGTCCCCCTGGGTAGAGTGCTATGGCATCACAGCTCACAGCAACCTCCAACTCCTAGGCTCAAGCGAGTCTCCCGCCTCCGCCTCCCAAGCAGCTGGGACCAGAGGCACCCACCACAACACCTGGCCATTCCTTGGTTGCAGCCATCATTGTTGTTTGGCGGGCCCGGGCTGGACTCGAACCCACCACCTCAGGTGTATGTGGCTGGCGCCTTAGCCAGTTGAGCTACAGGCGCCCAGCCCAACCTCAAACTCTTGAGCTCAAGTGATCCTCTTGCCTCAGCCTCCTGAGTAGCTGGGACTGCAGGTGCCCACCACACTGTCCAGTATTTTTAGAGATGGGGTGGGGTATCGCTCTTGCTCAAGCTTGTCCTGAACTCCTGAGCTCAGGCAATCCACCTGCCTCTACCTCCCAGAGTGCTATGATTATAGGCATGAGCCATTGCGCCTGGCCAGATGGAAATAGCTTATATCTTGAAAGGAGTTTGGATTACAAAAGTATGTTCATCTGTCAGAACATATCAAATGGTTGACTTATAACTTGTCCATTTCACTGTATGTAAATGTTACAAAAATTTTAAACTCTAGGTGATATGTATATTGAAATGTTTAGTATAGGAGATGGAGCACCATGCTTATGGGAGCGGTCACCAGTTTGTGAGGGAGGCACTGGGACGAGAATAATCTCCCGGCTCGCAAGGAGATGTTTAGCAGCCTTGGAGACAAGCCCTCAAGTTAATTTCATGCCTTAATGAGATAAGATCAGTCATTGGTTAGTAAGCAGGTGTTGAACCTGGAACACATGGGGTGCATCAGGGTGGGAGTCGAGCCCATGAGGAAAGAGCACGTAGTGATCATTAAGCACATAGCCCCTGGATGGGCACCCCCCACACCTATTTTATAATGTTTCAATAAAAGGTCACGGCAGAGGTTACTCTGGGCTTCCCTGCACCTTTGGGAAGTCCACCTCTTGCAAGCATTGTGCTTCTAATCTGTGTTCCAGCTGGTTCCTCATGCAGTGATGGGGTCCCAAAGTGGCACCGACAAGGATGATGGGGTGACATAGCGGCACTGACAGTTTAGGGTTGAAATATACTGATACCTACAAATTACTGTGAAATAAATCAAAATATAAGATGGCTTGATGGATGAACCGATGGATGGATAGATGTGATAAAGCAAATATTTAAAAATGTTGACAAGGGGTGGCACCTGTGGCTCAAGGGAGTAGGGCACCAGCCTCATCTGCCAGAGATGGTGGGTTCAAACCCAGCCCTGGCCCCAAACTGCAAAACAAACAAACAAACAAAAATTGTTGACAGCCCCTGTAGCTCTGTGAGTAGAGTGCCAGCCATATACACTGAGGCTGGTGGGTTGGAGCCTGGACCGTGCCTGCTAAACAACAATGACAGCTGCAACCAAAAAATAGCCAGGCTTTGTGGCGGGTGCCTATGGTCCCAGCTACTTGGGAGGCCGAGGCAAGAGAATCCCTTAAGCCCAAGAGTTGGAGGTTGCCTTGAGCTGTGATGCTGTGGCACTCTACCAAGGGTGAGATAGTGATACTCTGTCTAAAAAAAAAAAAAAGAAATGTTGACAATTATAAAATCTAAGTGTGGTATGTGGTTGTCCGCTGTACAATTTTTCAGCTTTTCTGCATATTTGAAATTCTCCATTAAAAATTTCTGGGAAAAATTGATATTGACAGATTGCCCCACAAAGAGGTTGTACCAATCCATACTCCAACATCAGGATGGGAGAAGGTTTATTTCCCCACAAGTTCCCCTGACCTGACTCTAAGACCCTTTCTTTCTTTTTTTTTCCGGCCAGGGCTGGGTTTGAAACCACCACCTCCGGTATATGGGGCTGGCACCCTACTCCTTTGAGCCACAGGTGCCACCCCAAGACCTTTTCATCTTTAAGAGATCTCATCTTTAAGAGATCACATCTTTTTCCAAAACTATTTTTTATTTTTTAATTACAATAGGTCAAGTCTCTTTCTATAAGTTTGTTTACTGCCTATTCATGTGTATTATCTATTTTTATGAACAAATATTGACTATTTCCTTACTCGTTTTTTTTCTTTTTAAAGACAAGAGTCTCACTTTGGCGCCAGTAGAGTGCCAAAGCAATCATAGCTCACAGCAACCTCAGACTTCTTGGGCTCAAGCAATTCTCTTGCCTCAACCTCCCAAGTAGCTGGGACTACAGGTGCCCACCACAATGTCCAGCTATTTTACGCAGATCTAGCTCTAGCTCAGGCTGGTCTTGAACTCATGAGCTCAGGGGATCAGCCCACCTTGGTCTCCCAAAGTGCTGGGATTACTGGCTTGAGCCACTGTGCCCAGCCCTTTTCTCTTATTGTTTATAAGAGCTTTTCTCTATGCAAGAGAAATTGGCAATGTCTTACAGATACTGTTTCCTGCTGAGCTGTTTGTGATTTGAATGGCGTATGATAGTTTTCTTATATCTACATTTTTTATTCAAACTGTTTATGACTCTTAAATTTTGTGTCTCGCTTCCCCATTCAGAGATAATTTTTTTAATTCACACATTTCCTTCAATATTTTTTTCCTTGTTTCCTTTCTTTTGTTTTTGTTTTTTGTTAATCAGGCCCACTGAGGTTCAAACCTGCAGCCCTGGTGTGGAGGGCCAGTAAACTAACCACTGAGCTACAGCACCCAGCTTCTTTTTTCATTTCTTTTTTCTTTTCCTTTTTTCTGAGACAGATTCTCACTATGTCATCCTGAGTAGAGTGCCGTGGCGTCACAGCTCACAGCAACCTCAAACTGTTGGGCTTAAGTGATTCTCTTGCCTTAGCCTCCTAAGTAGCTGGGACTACAGGTACCTGCCATAACGCCCAGCTATTTTGTTGCAGTTGTCTTTGTTTAGCTGGCCCAGGCCGGATTTGACTCGCCACTCTCAGTGTATGTGGCTGGTGCCATAACCACTGTGGAATGGGCACCAAGTCCTTGTTTCATTTCTTATTTTAGAATCTTTGGTTCATCTGAATTTTATTTTTGTGTATGGAATGAAATAGAGATCCAAATTCACAGTGTTCCCTCAAATGAAACTGTCTCTCTGTATATCCATAAATATATATACATATATTTTTTGAGACAGAGTCTCACTCTGTCACCCTAGGTAGAATACCATGACATTATAGCTCATAGAAACTTCAACTCTTGGGCTCAAGCCATCCTCTTGCCTCAGCCTCCTGAGTAGATGGGACTATAGGCACCTACCACAATCCCTGGCTAGTTTTTCTATTTTAATGGGGTCTCCCTCCAGCTCAGCCTGGAAATTTTTCTATTTTTAATAGCAACAGGGTCTTGGTCTTGCTCAGGCTTGTCTCAAAGTCCTGAGCTGAAACAATCCATCCACTTCAGCCTCCAAGAGGGCTAGGATTACAGGCATGAGCCACCATGTTGGTCCTAACTTTTTTATAAGGAAGAGGAAGAAGCACACACACACACACACGTTTTTCACCCACTGGGAAGATATAACAGTGTAAAATCCAACTGGGAGGCCAGATGCAGTGGCTCATGCCTATAATCCTAGCACTCTGGGAGGCTGAGGCAGGTAGATTGCTTGAGATCAGGAGTTCAAGACCAATCTGACTAAGAGGGATACCTCATCTCTACTTGACCTGACAAACAAAACTTGACTTAGCAATGGCAAAATAATTTTTGTCTATACATGAAATATTTACCAAAATTGATCACATCTTGGGTCACAAAGCAAGTATCAGTAAATATCAATGGATTGAAAAAACTCAGAATATGTTTTCTGACTACGGTGGAATTACAATCAACCCCCCCAAAAAATATATCAATAACCAAAAAAAAAAAAAAACCAAAAACTAGAAAAATCTGAATTTCTTGGAAACAAAGCAGTGCATTTCTAAACAGGATCAAAGATAAAATCACAATGAAGATTCTAAAGTATTTTGAACTAAATGACAATTAGGATATGACAAATCAAATCTTGTGGGATACAGTAAATGAAGTGCTTAGAGGAAATGTACAGCCTGAAATGCATATGTTAAAAAAGAAGGAAATCAAAGTGGCACCTGTGGCTCAGTGGGTGGGGTGCCGGTCCCATGTACCGAGGGTGGCGGCTTTGAATCTGACC